TTTTTATTATTATTACTTTGTTTAGTTAGCATACCAAAATTTAAAAATCTGACTGGTAGATTCAGGCTCATCTTCAACTCTATATTTTAGCACAAACAACAAATTCTGTACTGTGCCTTTCATTAAATTGTTGAGTTCAATCCTCATAACAACCCTTTTTTATAAGTGAAAAAATTAAAGTCACAGAGAGATATAGTCACCTGCTCAAGGTCATACAGCTAAGTGTGGAGGAGTTTCGGAAATGATGTAAATTGAAAACATCCTATAAATTATTAAGCCCTATAGAAATTAGAATTATTATATGGACAGTTGTTCTAGCATCAAAAAAAAAGTATAAGTCTGTTAAGAAAGCCAGTGAGCTTAGGTGAAATAGAGAATAGAAGAAGAGTATCTATTTAGAACTGTCAAGAGCAGCCATGGTGACCGTTTTGAAATTTTTCTCAAACTGGTTTCTTGTTATTTAACTAAATGGCAAAGAGATACAACAGTAAAACACAGAAAGGGAAGCCATTAAGACTAGCAGAATATTTTTAACAATTACAAAAGTTTTCTGCTTCATTATTAATTGTTTGAAGTCTTTTAAGTGGAGTAGAAATTATCAGGAAAATGATTTTCAAAAAACTACCCAGATAACAAGCCCGAACGTTTTGTTGTGTTTTCCCCCCAGTCAGATGTCAGAGGAATTTAAATCTTCAGCTACATAAATAAGCAGGTGTCCTTGGTGGCAGTAACAACAGCCCTTCTCTTTTAGATTCAGCCATGATCGTGAGCCAAACAGAAGTGCCACGCCTCCCTTGCCAGCTTTGCCATTTCATACCAAAGAAATGACAAGTCCTTTGGCTAGTGATGATGAAGTATTCCCCATGGTGAGTTGCTGATTGTTACTTTTTTTTTTCCCCTTTACAGGGTGGTTACTCTTACGCTGATATGATATACTGATATGTACATTAGTGGTTAAAAAAAAGTTTCTCCTTGAATAGGATGGGTCTGCGAGTTGTTTGGCAATGACTATCTGTAAAAGGAAAAGGATCCATCATGTTTTACAAAGTATTGCGTCTCTAACACAGGCCAGAATTACTGGTGGCACTTTTTTAAAAATGCAGGTCACCCCTGGATATTCTACGAGCCCTCAAAGATCTGTATATTTAAAGAGCTACAGGTGATCTTTTGTACCTGTTTAAAAAAAAAATCTCTCTTACTGACTCTGACATACGTACAGAAACACGCATGAATCAGAATTAGACAGCTTGATGAACTACCACAAAGGGAACACAGCAGTGTAGCTCCTACCCACGCAGTAAACAGAACGTTAGTAGCACTCCACAGGCTCCCTTCCTGTCCTCTTCCGATCACTCCTCGCTCCCAAGGTAACCTCTGTCCTGATTTTTAACATCATAAATACGTTGTGGCCATATGTAAATTTTATATAAATGATATCACACTATATGCGTTCTTTTGTCTGGCTTCTTTTGCTCAACATTGTTTCTGAGAGTCATCATCCATATAGTTGGGTGTAGTTTATCCATCTTTGTTTCTCTATAGCCTTATATTGCATATAAGTATTACATACAGTGATACTACAGTTTATCCATTCTGCTGTTGACAAACATTTGAGTTATTTCCTGCTTAAGTCTGTTATAAGTAATGCTGCTAAAAACATTCTTGTGAGTGTCCTTTGTTGCACACGTGTCCACATTTCCACTGGATCAATACTTGAGTGGAATTGCTGGGTCACAGGATATGCATAAGGTCAGCTTTCACTGCTACTGCCAAGCTGTTTCCCTGTTGGAGCCAGTTCATACCCCAGCAAGTACTGGTGTTACTGGCCTTTTTAATTTTAGCTCTTACTGTCAGTTGTAATAACACCATAATGTGGTTTTAACTCTTGTTTCCTGGTAACTAATGTGGTTGAACACCTCTTCATAAATTTATTGGCCATTTTGATATCCTCCTCTGTAAAGCGTCTATTTGATTTCTTTGCCTAATCTTCTGTTGCATTGTCCTTATTCTTGTTGATTATTAAGAGTTCTTTATATGTTCTAGATATAAGCCTTTTGTTGATTATGTGTATTACAAATATCTTCTCCCATTCTTACTTAACCTCTTCACTTAATGGAATCTTTCGATGACTAGAAGTTCCTAATTTTAATGCATTCAAACTTACAAATCTTTCCCATTATAGTTAATCTTTTGGTGTCCTATTTAATACTTTTGCCTGTCCCAAAGTTATAAAAATATTATCTTATGTTATCTTCCAGAGGCTTTGGCTCTTTTTTTTTAAGTATACATCTGGAATTAATTCCGTGCAAAGTAGGATTCTTAATCCCTTTTCTCATGGAAATATTCAGTTGAACTCACACATGTTTTCCAGTCCTATAGATTCTTTCGATTTTCTATATTCAGAATCAATTTGATTTCCTGCTTTCAAACATTTATACCTTTTTTCCTTTTTCTTGCTTTGTTGTGCTAAGACCTTTAGTAAATGTTGAGTATAGTAGTAGTATTTCCACCATCTTTCTCTCACTTTCTCTCACATTTAAGGGAAAGCCTTAAACATTTCATTGTTATGTATAATATTTTCTGTAGATATTTGGTAGGCTCCTTTTAAAAGATTAAGGAAGTTCCTTTTATTCCTAGATTAGTAAATGTGTTTTCATGAATTGATGTGAATTTTATCAAATGCTTTTCCTGCTTCTATTGAAATTACATAATTTCTCCTTTGCTCTGTAATGTGTTTTTTTCTTGATGTGAGATTGTTAACCCAATTTTGAATTCTTAGACTATATCACACCTGATCTCTGAATTTGGTTGTTCATATTGGTTTAGAATTTTTGCTTTACGTTCACAAGAGAAATTAGCCTGTAATATTCTTTTGTTGTCCTTGTCAAGCTTTGGTATCAGATTGTACTGACCTCATGAAACAGGTAGGAAGGGTTTTTAATTTCACATTCCTCCACTTCTTCATTTTCCTTGACTCTGTGTGTTGGTTTCTATGCATAAGATAAAAGAGCCATCTCTCCTAGTCTTGAGGAAGGGGTCTCATGTAGGTTAATTTCAGTTTTAATATTTTTTCTGTTCTCAAATTTTCATTTCATTGTTTTTTAGTTTCCAGTTCTCTGCTGAAGCATTCTACTTTGTGATTTGATTTATTGAACATAATAATCACAGATTTTTTTAAAGATATGTGGGTTTTCACCTCAGAAACTAGTAGTATTCTCAGCCATTACCTTTGCTTATATTCAAAGTATATTATGTAATATTTCATTTCCTGTCTATAATCTACAAATATTAGATACAAATTATAAAGACAAACAAGCAAACAAAACAAAAACAGAAAATGTTTAAATTGGATGAATTATCCCGTGAGTATTTTTCTGCCTTTCTGGAACCTATCACCTTTTGGTCGAGACTGGTAGTAAGATATAAGCTACTGTGGAGGAAGGAGACTTAAAACCATTAACTTCTACAGTTTTAGAGTTCTCTAAAGCCCTGAAATGCTCTTTTGTTTCATTTCAACATAAAATGCCAAAATTATTTGAACAGAATAAAATTCATATCAATAAAGTAAATAAACTTCCTCATTTAAACTATAGGAACCTCTAAGGGGACTTAGCAAATTGTGTATCAACAAAACTTTGATCTTTAAGGACTCCAGCGTAAGCCACAGTCCAGTCCAGCAAGAGGGGAAAAAAGTGATAAATTGCTAAGTGTTCTGTTGTTCTAATATCAGATGTTTTTAGGATTTTAGGATTATTAGTGTCTGCTCAAATATCACCTCATCAGAGGCACCTGAGAAGCCACCCCACGGAAGCACCTCCCTCTTCACTCCCTGTCCCCTCATCCTGTTTTCTGTCTTTTTCATAGCACTTTACCATAAGACGTTTTATTTGTTTGCTTGTTTGGCTCCCGCCTATAGAATTTGATCTCCATTGAAGTAGGATCTTTTCCTATTTTTGTTTAGTGTTTTAACCCCAGCACCTAAAATAGTGCCTGGCACTAGCAGGCACATAAAAAAACATGCAGGAGTGTTTGTTGTATAACTTAACGAACACTGGGTTTCTTCCCACCTCTAAAATTCTTAATTACTCCCTTCCTAACTCCAGAGTCAACCAGGAAAGAAAATTCTGTGCTGTTGTGGCTCTTGGCATGGGGACTTAAGCTGTGGTGGAGGCCCTAGAGTTCCCTGAAAGACATGGCCCAGCCCGCTGTTTTCAGTCCAGTGGTTTCCACCCACTGCTGCATTTTGACTTCTACACCAGCACTGTTTCTGCTTGGACCACCAGTGACCTCGTAGTTGTTCATTAAATACACAGTTTAGAGAAGCCATCTTCCTTAATCCCTTTCCCTTGATACTCTCATATTCTCTGGCTTCTAAGACACTCTTCTCCACTGATTCTCCTGCTGCCTTTAAGGTTACTCTTTCCCAATATGCTTCTAGGGTTCTCCCTCCTATACCTGTCCTGTAAGTATTGGTGTTCATCATTCATTCATTCATTCATTCATTGATAAAATAAATGTGTATTAAGCACCCACTGTATGGCAGGTTCTGTTCTAAATACATCTTTGATGAGACTGACAGGTCTACAGTCTGGTGAAAAAAAGAAGGGAACTCCATCAGCGGATGAATGGATAAACAAAATAGTGGCATGTGTAAGCAATGGAATACTCTTCAGCCATTAAAAAGGAGTGAAGTACTGATACAGGCTATGATGTGGATGAACCCAGAAAACATTATGCTACAGGAAAGAAGCCAGATGTAAAAGGTCATATATTGTATGATTCCATTTATATGAAATGACCAGAATAGGTAAATCCATAAAAACAGAATGAAGATTGGTGGTTACCAGGGGCAAAGAGTGAGGAGGAAATAGGGAGAAATGCTTTAGTGGGTACAGAGTTTCCCTTTGGGATGATGAAAATATTTTGGAACTAGATAGAGGTGTGGCTTTAGCACCTTGTGAATGTTCTAAATCCACTGAATTGTTTATTTTAAAATGGTTAATCTCTTTTATGTGCATTTATCTCAGAAAGAGAGAACAGTTAATGACCAGAAACAAATGAACAAATAAGAAAATATCAAATAGTAATAAATGCTGTGATGAAAAGAAAAGCAGGTGATATAATAGGAGGTGATGAGAGTGTGGGGAAGGACTTTAGGTTGAGTGGCCAAGAAAATGATTACTGAAGAATGGACATTTAGGTTGAGACCTAATAACAAAAAAGATCCACTCCTGCAAAGATCTGGAGGAAGAGAGTGTCAGCCAGAGGGAACCAACCACTGGTGCAAACCACTAAGACAGGAACAACTTTGGTAAGTTTGAGAACCGGAAAAGGAGAAGGGGGTGGTCTGGAGCTTACAAGGGCAGAGAGAGAATGTAATGAAATTGGGACAGAGAAACAGGCAGGGGAAGTTCAGATACGTAGAGACTGTAGGCCATGGGAAGGAATTTGGATTTTATTTTAAAGCAGTGGGAAGCCATTGGAAAGTTGCCAGTGGGGGAGTATGTGATCTGTTTAAAAAATTTAAAAATATCCATTTGACTGCCAAATAAAGAATAAATTATAGATGGGCAAAGGTAGAAGTGCAAAGAACAATTGTCAGGCTATTTCAGTGGTCTAGGCAAGAGATGATGATCCTGGCTTGGGAACAGTGGAGGTAGAGCAACATGTTAGATCCAGGAGATGTTTTGGAGAACAGAGCAGACTTGACAGTGGATTGGCTATAGGGAGTAAGGAAAAGAGAGGACTCAAAGATGACTCCTAGGGTCTCAGCCTAAGCCTGGGGTAGAGACTGGTACCACTGTCTGACATGAAAGACTAGGAAGGAGCCGTGCTAGAGGAGAAGATCATGACTTCTAGGTTAGAT